ATCAATGAGGAGTGAGTATAGACAGAGAAGAGGACCAAGGTGAAGACAAATCAGGAAGGGAGAGTGAGAAACCACCAAGGAAACAGGAAGAAACTCAAGGCAGTGGGATTTCATGAAAGACAAGTGAAGAAGGTCCATCAAGGATGAGATTACCAGTGTCAAACACTAGTGCAAGGTTGGGTTGGATGAAGGCTGAAAACAGATCATTAATTTAGTAACATGGTGGTCACTTGATGACCTTTGACAGGAATGGTCTATAAATAAGCCAATTTATCAAATTAACACTTTATTTTAGCAATTCCTACTCAATTTGTCAAATTCTTTTATTAAACCCCTGGAGTAGAACAAATCTTATTAATTTGTCCAACTACTAATTTTCCCTGGCAATATTCAAAACTTCCAAACTCATCTTCCACTCACTGGGTATAAGCCTGGTGATTATTATTTATACAAGCCAATTTATTTTTAATTATAGTTCATGTGACATCATCCCTACTATTTTTTACAAGCACTCTTGGAACCTCACTTTGCTCTCCTCCCAACTCGGACTTGATAGAATTTGCCTCTTTTCCCTTATCCTCACAACTACCTGTGAAAGATTCTTTTTCTTCAATTCTACTTTAAACTTTCATATTTCTTATTAAATTGATACTTTCAGTTTCTGGCTGAGACATAGTAGATGTTCAATAAGATGCTTGATGAGTCAATAGAAGAAACAGGGAGAAAGGGAAGGAAGGGAAAAGGAAAGAAAAGTGACTCAGTTCTAACTGGAAAATACACAGAGCTCTCAGAAAGAAGGGCAGTGACTTTATTCCTATATTTCATGTTCTATAAATCCTTAGAAATATGATCTGCCTAGACAAGCTCCATAAAAACAATGTATTGATTAAAGGGAGACAATAAACATCTATAGGAACTTCCCTAGTGGTCCAGTGGTTAAGACTCCATGCTTCCAATGCAGGAGGCGAGGCTCTAATCCCTGGTCAGGGAACTAAGATCCCCTACATGCCTCATGGCATGGCCAAAAATATACATATATATACATTCATATGTATATATATACACACATATATGTATGTTCTGAGCTGGAAACTGTGGTCAAACTAGTACTAAAACTAGTACTTTTTCCAGAGTTCAGTAACCATTAAAAATGAAACCACTTTCCTGGTGATACAGTGGTTAAGAATTCAACTGCCAAAGCAGGGGACACAGGTTTGATCCCTGGTCCAGGAAGATTCCACATGCCGCAGAGCAACTAAGCCCGTGGGCCACGACTACTGAGCCTGCACACGGCAGCTACTGAAGCCGGTGTGCCCTAAGGCAGCACACTGCAGCGAGAAGCCTCCACAATGAGAAGCCCACGCACGGCAGTGAAGAGCAGTCCCCACTCGCCGCCAACTAGAGAAAGCCCTCACACAGCAGCGAAGACCCAGTTCAACCACAATTTTTTAAAAAAAGAAAGAAATCACTTGAATTTTTTGCAAAACGGTCCTCAATCCTAAGAGGTAAAATTTCATCTGTGTATTATGTCAACACCTGTGATCACAGCTGAGGGTGGACTGTCTCGGCCCCAGTAAATAGTTAACGCTCTAGTCATGCATAAGATAAAGGATGCTGTGCAAATCGCTGGCCTGGGTTCCAGCTCTGAATGAGAGCTCGTAGTAGTCATTAACTTGTGAGCTTGTTTCCTATCTGTCCAAAATAGGACAGCGACCTCTATGCTGCTGACCTCAGGGTTGTGAGAATCACAGGAGGAAACAGTTGAACACATCTTGGAAAATGTGAAAATAAGCAGTGTGACTGGGACTTCCCTGGTGGGCCAGTGGTTAAGACTCTGCATTCCAGTGCAGAGGGTACAGGTTTGATCCCTGGTCGAGGAGTTAAGATTCCACATGTCTCGAGGCCAAAACACCCAAAACATAAAACAGAAGCACTGTGGTAACAAATTCAATAAAGACTCTCAAAATAGTCCACGTCAAAAAAAAATCTTAAAAAAAAAAGCAGTGTGACTTGTGACTAGATGACTCTCCAAATTTGCTGGACCTGGTCATAAAGACTCTGAGGGTCACAGAAGCAAGAGCCAGCACGCTATGCCATCACGACTGAGGTCGACCACTTCCATCTCTGGCATCTCCTGCTCCACTCCTGCCCCATGCCTAGAGCGCTGTGCCCTGCTCTGAGAGTAGCAGCAGACAAGAGGGCCTCCCTAGATGTCATGAAGAAACACTTGTCTCCACTGAGAGAGTTGTTCAGTTGCTCAGTCATGTCTAACTCTGCGATCACAGGACTGCAGCAAACCAGGCTTCCCTGTCCTCCACTATGTCCCAGAGTCTGCTCAAATTCATGTCCATTGAGTCAGTGATACGATCCAACCATCTCATCCTCTTTTGCCTCGTTCTCCTCTTGCCTCCAATCTTTACCAGCCTCAAGGTCCTTTCTAAAGAGTCGGCTCTTCACATCAGATGGCCAAAGTATTGGAGCTTCCACCTCAGCATCAGTCCTTCCAACGAATATTCAGGATTGACTTCCTTTAGGATTGACTGGTTTGAACCCAATTCTCAATGTTCGTCTGTTTACATAAGTAAATGCTCATGATCAGAATGAAAAGTGATAGATGTCACAAGGATAGGAAACCTTATAACACTGTACCGCCTTCTGAGCCCTGTCCAGGTGCCACTGTGTACAGAACTCCTGGAAGAGCTTTTCTGTGGCTGTTTCCAGTGAGTCCGGAATGAGAAAATCATGGAAGAGGTTAGCACAGTTGTTAGGATGTGTCAGACTCACTCCCGAGACAACAAAGACAGGACTGTGCCTGCTGCTTCTGGGCAGCCTGGGGGCAGGAGGAGGGGCCGTGTGATTGGTGTAAGAGGTTCTCTGTGGGTCTCACGCTTCCTCGGCAGATCAGATACCCCTGGAGCCACATTCAGCATGCACCTCCTGTTCAGGCCGCTCCCCAGTGGAGGGCAGGCTCTCAGGCCTGGTGGTTAGAAATGGAGGGCGGGGGGTTGGGCGGAAGCCCTGTCCACCCGTCTGCCCGGCTTGCTCCAGCTCCTACACACACAGGGTGGTGGCCAAGCCTGAGGCGTTTGCGGAGCTCTCCTCAGCTCGGCCTGCTTGGTCCTGCCCACTTTGCGGCACTAAAGCTGCGAAACAGCGCTGAGGAGAGCTGCCAGCGAGAGCTCACAATGGTGAAACAGCCGCCCTCTTGTCTGCGGTCTCATTTAAATGTTGCCAAAGCTATGCCATAAGCTCTCCTCCAGAAACTTTGATTTGGAAGGAGATTGTTTCATCTGATTTGATTATTTGGCTAAGTAATGATCTGATTATTTGACCAAAGTTGATTATTTGGTTAAATTATAAATTTTTCAAATCTCTTCTGATGTTAAACCCTTCTGGCCTCTGCTACTTAAATTATCCAACAGTATCCACTCGAGGCCTGCCTCTTCCTAAACCTGTGTGTCTTTGTCTTCCCCCAGTTTCCCACCAGGGAGTGTATAAAATCTCAAATTTTCAAACCAGCAAGAGTATAAAATCTCAGATTTTTTCAAAGCATGTTCTGAAATGTCCCTTTTAAGGCCACTGCTCAGAATAAACATGAACCTGGCCTTTCGGATCCTCCCAAACCATTTGTGAAATAGTTCAGAAATAGTTCAGGGGCTTCCCTGGTAGGCCAGTGGCTAAGACTCCTCACTCTCAATGCAGGGGACCTGGGTTCAGTCCCTGATCAGGGAACTAGATCCCACATTTCACGATGAACAGTTCAAAGGTCCCGACTAGAAGATCCTGAGTGCCAAAACAGAGACCTGGCACAGCCAAATAAATCAGCATTTCAGAAAAAAGAAAGAAATGGTTCGTATAAGTTATGATGAGTTATTTCTTAATTCATTTAAGGGAAAATGCTGATTTTTATTTGAGATTAATAAAATCTGTTTTCAGTTCTTTTTGGTTTGTTTTTAGTTCTTTTAATTCATGTCATTATCAAATATCCATTTTAAAAAATTGGAGTGTAATTGCTTTACAATGTTGTGTTAGTTTCTGTTGTATAACGATGTGAATCAGCTATGTTTGGGTACATCAGTATACGTACAACCTCTCCCTCTTGAGCTTCCCTTCCACCCCTCTAGGTCATCACAGACACAGGGCTGAGCTCAAATACCTATCTTTTAAGGTCAGTACTTTTAAGGCTCCACTGTTACCTTTTTTAAAAAAGCTTTTGTAACATTTCCTGCGTGACAAATACCAGGAGGGAAGAAAAGAGCTTCCATCCCTCACACTCAACACCACCCCCAGTGGTGGGGCTGATGGTGGCTGTGCTGTGACCAGCACTCTGCCCTGGGCTCAGCAGGATCTCCACCCCTTGGTTCCTGGCGTGGAGGCTGTTTCTACTCATATACTTAGAGTATCTGAAATATTGGATACTGAAATACATGATAGGCAGAATTAAAACTTCGACAAATCAGAAACTCCCTGGCAGTCCAGTGGTTAGGAGTCTGAGCTTTCACGGCCAAGGGCCTCGGTTCAATCCCTAGTCAGGGAACTGAGGTCCCACAAGCCAAGTGGTGTGGCTCAAAAAGAAAACAAACTACAAATCTGTTTTGATATATGCATAAATTTTTATTTATATATAAAGGGGAAACCAATTTCATTTAAAGCTGCCTAATCCACATTCCCAATAGTGAAGGTGTTTAATTTACCATCTACCTTCCAAAGCCTTCAAATCAAACATAGCTAGAATTGACTGATAAAGAATTGATAGATTGATAAAGAATTCAGATTATAAAACTCTCCAGGCAATTCAATGGTCAAAATAATACTGGAACTACAGTTTAAAAAAACAAACCACAATGTTCTATGAGCCCTAACTATCGTTTACTTGGAGGTACAGATAATCAATACAAAATTCATAGATTGGGTTGTAATCAGCAATTGGAAGCAAACAGTATCAAACTGCATAATTTTTAAAAATTAACCTGAAGTTATGAACTTTATAAAAATGGATCTTATTCTTCCAGTGCTCCCAGAAGCTCTATAAAATCAGTGATGTACCATTCCGCGTTATCCTTTACTTGCTGCCTGATCACATTTCCTCCAAATCCAATGAAAGCATCCTAAGAAGAGAAAGAAAGGGAAATAGTTGAAAAGGAGAGAGAGAAAAAGAGACAGCAGCAGCCTAGGGAGATAAGTATTATTGAAAAGAAGAAACTGTACAAAGACAGGTGAGCCCAGCATCACCTGGGATGCCTCCCTCCCCAGCTCCCTGTGAGCCTGCTCACCTCCTCCCCTCCTCCTGCCACTCGAATAAATGAGTCTGACCACCACTGCAGCAGAAGCATTCAGCTGGACACTGTGGGCTTCAGAAGAACTGAAATCCTTGTAAAATCAAGACAACTGCTTACAAAAATAAAAGCTGGGACTTCCCTTGGTGGTCCAGGGGTTAGACTTCTTGCTTCCAATGCAGGGGGCCCAGATTCAATTCCTGGTCAGGGAACTAGATCCTGCACACCACATCTAAGACCCTGCACAGCCAAATAAATATATATTTTTTTAAAAATAGGGACTTCCCTGGTAGTCCAGTGGCTAAGACTCCTTGCTCCCAATGCAGAAGGGCCTGCGTTCAATCCCTGGTCAGAGAACTAGATCCCACTTGCTGCAACTAAAAATCCCAAGTGCCACAACAGAGCCTCAGGACAGCCAAATAAGTATTAAAAAATAAGTAAATAAAACCACACCAGGTGGTAAACATCTGAGTTCTAAACTGGGTGGCAATCACATCCAGGCCAATTTCAAAGAAAGAGGATTGAAGAGAAGCCTGCTGGGCTGGGGAAATGCCCAAGGCATGGAATCAGGGCCATGGTAGAATACCTCCCAGCTGGTGTCCTGTGTGAATCTGAGGGACCCACCCCACTGCCCGCAGGGAGGCCTGTTATTCTGGGCTGAAGGAGATAACAACCCCCAGTATGTTAGCAGCACTCTATTTTTCACTGGTAGAATAACTTAAAGGCACATTGTTTCCTTCATTTATTCTCAGTGATACCTTCTTTTAGTCAATGATTTTTGAAATTTTTTTTGCTGCACCTTCACAGCATGTGGAATCTTAGTTCCCTGACCAGGGATCAAACCCACACTCGTGCACTGGAAAGTGGAGTCTTAACCACTGGACCACCAGGGAAGCCTCATTGTTGTTAGTCACTAAGTTGTGTCCGAATCTTTTGCAACCCCATGGACTGTAGCCCACCAGGCTCCTCTGTCCATGAGATTTCCCAGGCAAGAATACTGGAATGGGTTGCCATGCCCTTCTCCAAGGGAAATCCCATAATCAGTGGTCTTTTTAAGTGGTATTTTCTCTTTTTTCTGCCAGGACACAGACACAATATACACTGATTTAGAGGTACAAATTTATCTTACTTGCCCTTTCTCTTCATTTTTATTTTCATACCATACAATGGGGGAAAAATAAGTAGATTCTTACATTTAGTTAAATTGAGCCTCTTGAACTCCCGCCTCTGCGGCAGCCCTCTGCAGACCAGCAACCAGTTCTGCTGTCCTAACACCCTGACTGGTTCCTTCTTGGTCTAGAGGCTTCCAGGACTTCCCATGACCCAAAGGTAACACCAGAGAGCCTAGTACGTGGGGTCTTCTTCTCTTGCTGAAGAGAAAGCCCACTCCCACACTTCCCTGCCCACTGACCAGCCTAAGACTGTACCTAGTACATTAGAACTGTGCTCTGCTTCTTCCCTTCCCTCTAGAGGCCCTCCCCGCCAAGTTCTGCCTGGCTCCCACATGGCGACTGCTACCTGTCCTTCAGGGCAGGGCTCCCCACTCCCGGGACACTTGGTACTGCACCCAGGAGAAGGTGAGCGGCAGGAGACTGACAGAAGCTTCGCCTGTATTTACAAACCGCTCCTCATCGCTTGCACTCCTCCTGAGCTCCACTTTCTGTCAGGTCAGTGGCGGCATTAATAAACGCAAAGCCCTTGAATCATCCAGAAACCATTCTCCACCCCTCAACCCCCGGTCCGTGGAAAAATTGTCTTCCACGAAACTGGCCCCTGGTGCCACAAAGATTGGGGAACCCCTTCATTAGGGAGCAGATTCCTCGGACCACCTTCCAGGGCTACAGACCTGCACACACACCACCTTCTCTTGGTTCAGTCGGGCTCTGTCACCTTCTGACCAATAGGATCTTCTGTAATTTGTAATTTTGTCCTTCTTGGATACCGGGATTCAGGGCCCCCTGAGAGAACCCTGCATTACGCCTTGTACTCTGATATCCACTAGCCTGGCTTTCAGTACTTAGTCGACCCTGACATTGGCTGTAAATCATTTAAGAACGCATTATTTCAAACTGACTCAAGTAATGTTAAAAGGATCCCCAAAAATTCTTTAACCGCTTTTGATTAATCATTGACAGACAGATGTTATTTTTAGATCTGAGGAAACTAGGTAGTGAAACGTTCACCGTTATATTTTTGGTTCAGTTTTTTTAAGGTAGAACAAAAAGTTAGAGTCACAGTCCTATGTGAAATGGACGTGTGATATTTAAGGTATTGGCAACAGTCCATGGGGTCCCGGAGTCGGACACAGCTGAGCGACTGAACACACACACACACACATGCACATAGAACACTTGTTTCCTGCTAGTCTCAGAAAGCAATGTAAATGCAGAAGAAGAATAAAATGCTTTAATATGGGCATGGTATCGAATCTCCCATGACCCTCAGTTACCCCATCAGTAAAAAGGAAAAGATGATACTTTTTACTTCACAGGGCTGTTATGAAGATTAAATGAGATAATGTATGAGGAAATAGTTTATCAAATATAAAACTTCAAATATGAAATTCTGGTTGTAGTGTAAGAGCTGCATTCATTGTGGAAATGAAGCCAAACCTCACTGAGCACATACTTGGGCTAAGAGGCAGCAGCCATACTGCAGGGACAAGGGGTCTTTTTGGAAGTTTTAAATGGGGTTTAAGTTCCTTATTTGCAACCTTCCTTGGGTTTGCAAAAAGTCAATTAATATATTGAGACTAAATATGTTTTGTTTATTTTGGTTTTTTGTTTTACAGTGATACAGGTTTTTGTTTCATTCTCACAAACTGCAAAAAAATTAGTATGCTTAATACATACAGCAGGAGGACAGGCTTCCATGTCTGTGGCTCCATCTCCAACCATGATGATCTTCTTGAAATGAAATTTTTCCTTTAAAAATTTAATAACTTTTCCTTTCCCACCAGATTCAGCTGTTGGTTGCGTCTCATCAAAACCTGCATATTCACCTATAAAACGGATCCACAGAATTAGATCAGTAGGGCCACTTTTTTGCATAGATGATATCCTCATTTATATACCACTGGCAAAGCTAAAAGTGGCCTTTGGTAAAATAACACAGCCTGGACTTTCACACTTATTTCTCAAAATGAACAAGCTATGATTTTAAATTACAAACTTCTTGTCAAGGTCATTCCTTTAGGTGATAAACATCTCACGGTTAATTGGTTTTATCTTCTAAACTTCCAATATAGCAAATCTCAAAACTTACTGAAATGGCAGAACACCATGAAACAGTAATATATTAATTTAAAACATGTTGTTATATAATTTCTTCTAAGAGGAGATTCTAATTTACATTTGATGGATTATTTCCAACTTCCAGTAATTACTACACTTATTCTCTACTCTTTTTAAAATTATTTCTATCTTATAAACTCTTCAAAAGTGTTCTAGTAACACATTTAAATGTTTTAAACTAATACCATTTGGTTTTAAGAATGCCAGCCACCCCCTGACATAACCGGAGACATCTTAAGATGACGAGAAGATTACAGTGGGGGCTCTGTGACGGTCCAGAGAGGGGCCAGGAGGTGCCTCCAAAGGCAGCTACAGTGCAGTGACTTGCTCACAAATTAACTCTCCTTCCTGAGTCAAACACATGAGCCAAACTGGCTCTAATACATGAGAGCTTTCATAAAACTGAAATATACTGAATAACAAAATAAGTCATATGGGTTACATGACATTATTTACTAAAATGCAGACATGTATATACAGATAGATGATTTTATGGATACTGAAGGTAGGAGAGATGATGCCCTAAGTGTACCTTGAAGAGCAAAGGATACCAAAGACATCAGTAAAGAGAACCCTCTATCTCAGCATTTAACTCTGACGCCACCTTGCTGAAGCTGCGTTCCAACACACATTAAATACTAAAACTGATTAGAGGGGAAAATGTGACCATGAAAGTCTTACCATTAAAGTAGAACTTTAGCCTATTGGCAAATACATTGGTTGATGGAATGTTGAGCTTTGAAGCAACATGTTCCACAATGCTCCTAAAGCCACCAGATATCAGGAAAACCTGAACATTTCGTTCTTGTAGGCGACTTACTAGCTCCCTGTAAAAAAAAAGGAAACTGCAAATACCAAATGCTGATCAATACAAAAGTGAAAACAGGAAATGTGGAAAGGAAACTCAAATATATATTTTCTCCTAATGCATCTGTCCAAGGTACACCAGACAAGGTATATCACCTAGTGAATTAATGTTCCATATATGTTTTTCTAAATGCACTTAGAAATTAGTGGGTAGGCTTGACTGCTTTAGGAAACCATTCCACAACTCTGTTCTGCCCATGGACCTAGAAAAACAAGACGAAGAGGAGATTTTGGCTCTCTGTTGGGAGAGAGGGAAGGCAGACATGGGCAAGACCAACCACCCAGACAAGACCATTCATAAGTACCAAAAGAACCACACAGAAGCTCTACAATAACGAAGGACATGCCCCCAAAAGCAGGTGCTAATAGAGAGACAGTGTACCCAGACTGGGCATCCCTTACCTTATGCCGGGGGTCAGGTGCGGGGGGTGCTCTGCTAGGAGCCTCTGCACCTGTTCCCTGGAGGGCTGGATCAGAGATAAGCGCTCTGTGAGGGCAGCCTTGAAAGGCACTGCCCCGCCCATGGCTCGCCGTGTCCTAGGAGGAGGAACACCCAACAATCAAGCCAGCTATCATCAAAGTTTACATGCCCACCCTCCCCAGCTCCTCACAAGGTCTATCCACGAGGAAGGTGCCCCACCATACAACAGACGTGCTATGTTGCCATGGGAGTGAGTGGGGCCAGGGATAAACTATGGAGGGTTTGCTTGAGAATCACATTAATATTCTGCATCCACAAATACACCATCCAGTGAGCTGAGAAAAACGCATGTACTATCCACAGGTACTTTCCTTAGAAACCATGAGCACTTGTAAACCAAGAAAGAGACTAAAGGCCAGTACTCTTTACACACACACACACACACACACACACACACACACACACACACACAGATATAATTTAGCATGTTAAAAACAATCACATCAAAGAAAAAGTATACACGGGCTTCCCTGGTGGCTCAGTGGTAAAGAATCCGCCTGCCAATGCGGAGGACATCGGTTTGATCCCTGGTCCAGGAAGACAGCACATGCTGTGGAGCAACTAAGCCCATGAGCCGTAACTATTGAGCTGGTGCTCTAGAGCCCAGGAGCTGCAATTACTGAAGCCTGCCCTAGAGCCTACGCTCCACAACAAGAGAAATCACTGTAATCAGAAGCCCATGCACAGCAACAAACATCCAGCACAGCCAAAATAAATAAGTAATTTTTAAAGTATACAGATAAAAAATGTCATAGACGACTTAAGAATAGTGTGCATATATTTTTGCATATATATATATATATATATATATATAAATCTACAGTATTTACCGCTGTTGACTTACATATATTTTGGAGCAGCTCTGATGCCGCTATCATAAACTAAGTTGTACAGCTTGGTTTACTAGGCCAGGCATGCTTGCATCAGATGAAGCTGAACAGGAAATGGTCTAGGACCTGGTGAGTGTGGGTGGCACAGGGGAGAGCAGAAGGGAGGAAGGAACTCTCATCCGGGCATCCGTGGAGACTCTGAACCAAAACTAGCTTTCTAGCAAAGCTCTAAGGCCATACTTTCAACCATGACACAAAGCCCTGGACCCTGGAGATCCCGTAGGTTATCTTCCTTGGTTATTTGTGGTCATCATTCCCCTGGCCAAGCTAAGGATGTGTCATCCATACTTATTTGTCACAGTGTATATATTAGTGTTATATATACACTTTTTTGGCATAAATATGTGTATAAATGGGAAACTCCCCAGAAGTCCAGTGGTTAGGATGCCATGCTTCCACTGCAGGGAGACAAGTTCGATCCCATATATATATATATATGCTATGCTTAGTTGCTCAGTCATGTCCAACTTTGTGACTCCATGGACTGTAGCCCACCAGGCTCCTCTGTCCATGGGGATTCTCCAGGCAAGAATACTGGAGTGGGTTGCCTTGCCCTCCTTCAAGGAATCTTCCCAACCCAGGGACTGAACCCAGGTCTCCCACATTGCAGGCAGATTCCTTACCATCCGAGCCACCAGGGAAGCCCATGAATAATGGAGTAGGTAGCCTATCCTTTCACCAGGGGATCTTCCCAACCCAGGAATCGAACCAGGTCTCCTGCATTGCAGATGGATTCTTTACAAGCTGAGCTACCAGGGAAGCCCATACACACACACACACACACACACACACACACACACGTATTTATATAAGCCCATATACATATATATATATATATATATATATATATATATATATATATATATATATATATGGAGATATATATATATGTAAATGGATGGTTGGATGACGTACTACACCAACAAATTCAGCTCTAAGTGATGGAAAAAAATAACCTAGTGCCCATGTTTCATAGCAAGGGACTAAAATCAGGGAATTGTGGTTCTGGTCCTGTGCATCATCCAAAAGTCACTCTTCTTTTGAAATCCTCTATCATTTCATAAGGTGAATAAATACTGTTCCTACATTTCTGACACGGCATCCTCAACTCCACAGAATTTGGCCAGCTCATCAATTCCTTCTTCTTGGATGACGGTGCTATCAACATCAAAGCACACTGCATCAGCTGAACAGAAAAGATTCTTTAACTCTGAATGGGAGACCATCTTTGGAAGAATTTTCCTCCTACAACAGAAAAAGATAAATCTATTTAAAGACATAAAATATAATCATCTGTTGTTGTTGTTAGGTTGCTAAGACCTGTCTGACTTTTTGCAACCCCATGGACTGTAGCACGCCAGGCCTCCCTGTCCCTCACTATCTCCCGGAGTTTGCCCAAGTTCATGTCCATTGAACTGGATGCCATCCAACCATTTCATCCTCTGTTGCCCTCTTCTCCTTTTGCCTTCTCTCCTTCCCAGCATCAGACAAAATATAATCATAAAAAGGTCTAATTTTGCCTACGAATGTCAATATATTGTATTTCGTATCAAAGTCACTGAAGCCCGTATAAGCATGTCCTTATGGATTCATTCTTTTTTTTTTTAATACAAATTAAGCACCTTCTAAATGTCAGGCTCTAGGGCTACAAAGTTGAGTGGAGACCCAGATTCTGCTCCCAGAAATTAAATCTAGTGTAGGTTATCAATTTATGAATGTATGTGATTTTCAACCAATATTCACGTACTTTTGACCTAATCAGAGCAATAAGGCAAGTGCTACAATAGAAATGTGCATAAGATACTGTCAGCACACAGAGGAAATGGTTAACCTTGACCATGAGACAGGCTTCCAAGAGATACAGGCATTTGAGCTGAATCTTGCAGAGGAAGTGGCCTTCTCCATGGGCTCTCAAAGGGAAGGGTATCAGTTTGTTGTGTCCTGAGAATAAGCCAGAGGGAGAACAGCAGCAAGGAGGGGGGTAGTGATGGCAAAGGGAAGAACATGTGCAAAGACAAGGCGGCAGAATGATGGCTGATGAGTTGGGAGCTGCCCAACGGCCCAAGCCAAATGGCAGGCAGTGTATGGGCAGTTAGTATGGGCGGGCTAAGAGGCTTTTTTTTTTTTTTAACTTTGCTGGGTCTTCATTGCTTCACACAGACTTTCTTTAGTTTCGGCGATTGGGGACTGCTGTTCGTTGCGGTAGATGGACTTCTCATTGCCATGGTTTCTCTTGTTGCAGAGCACAGGCTCAAGAGCTGAGGCTCAGGAGTCGTGGTGCATGGGATCAGTAGCCCCACAGCCTGTGGGATCTTCCTGAACCAGACATCAAACCCGTGTCCCCTGCATTGGTAGGCGGATTCTAATCCACTGGACCACCAGGTAAGTCTTAAGGAGTCTGGATTTTAACATTCTAGCTAACGGAAGGACTTACCTGGTGGACCAGGAGCTAAGACTCCATGCTCCCAATGCAGGGGACCCAGATCCAATTCCTGGTCAGGGAACTAGATGCCACATACCTCAGCTAAGAGTTCATATGCTGCAACTAAAGCTTGGTGCAGCCAAATAAGTAAATATTGGTGGTGGTGGTGGGGAACTTTTAGCTAATAGGAAACCTTGAAAGGCTTTACACCTCAGAAGTCAGAGCTAAACATACACGTGAGTTTGTTTCCGGTGCAGAGGTGGTAACTGAAGCCACAGGCTGCTGGAAGAGAGAGTAGAGAAAGGGGAAAAGGAGAAGGCTGAGGACAGAGCACACAGGAGCAGGACCGTCAAGTCAGGAGCCTGCGAAGGAAAACGAGAGGGGCAGTCACAGGGAGGAGCTGAGAGACCACAGCGCTGCAGGAGCTGCGGAGGGAAGCTGCAGAAGAATGTTGAGTATTTTTTTATTTTTTAAGAAAATTGGGGCTTCCCTGATGACTCAGTGGTAAAAAAAAAAAAAAAAAAAAAAAAAAATCCACCTGCCAATGCAGGAGACACCAGTTCAACCCCTGGTCCAGGAAGATCCCACGTGCCATGGGGCAGCTAAGCCCATGCTCCCCGACTATGGAAGCCCTTGCACCTTAGAGCCCGTGCTCCACAACAAGACAAGCCACTGCAGTGAGAAGCCCCAACTCGCCCCAACTGGAGAAAAGCTCAAGCCGTAACAAAGACCTAGCACAGCCACAAATAAATAAAATTATTTTAAAAAAAAGAAAGAAAATCAATGGACTAGAGTCTTGGAGGTGAACTAGATCCTAGAGGTCGTCCGGGGCCACTCTCCCATCAAAGAAACTAATACATCATGTACAAGGTACACGGACCATGCAAATCAGCATAAACAGTGGCTGACAGCTGACTCACCGGAGCCTGCCCAACCCACTTTGTAACTGATTACAAACCAGTGCATTTGGTAGAATGATCCAGTTCAAAGCTGACCTGGGGGGAAAAAAGCCGGGGGTCAGCAAAACACAGCCAGTAGGCCAAATGCAGCCTGCCACCTGTTTTTGTACAGCCTGTGAAGAATGAATTTTACATTTTAAATAGTTGGAAAAAGTAGAAGAGTAGTATTTTGTGATATATGCAAGTCACATAAAATTCAAAATTCAGTGTCTGTAAATAAAATGTTATGGGAACATAGCCACATTCATCATTTACGTGTCTATAGTGACTTCCCCACAAGAGCAGACAAGCTGAGTAGCTGTGTCAGAGACATTATGGTCTGGAAAGCCTGAGATTCATACTGTCTGGCCCTTTAGAGAAAAATTTTGCTGATCCTTGTTTTGAGCCCTTACAAGAGAGTACTCCAAACAGGAAACACCAATTTCATTGGAGTCCCACTAAAAACAGGCAGAGGAGGGTAAATTAATGAATCCAGTTAGATAACAGAATTTAAAACTCTGCACTGACATTATCAACCTAAATTTGAATAAGTCTCCACAGAAGAGAAGTATTTTTCAAAAACATGAATACAAAACACATCTGCTGCTGGTTTTCTATTGGGTTTTCTGTAAGAGATTATGAAAAAACCCAATCGACTTTTTGGCCGACACAATACAATCTGTTTTTTACCCCCAACATTATGTTCTTGTTCAAGCTGACCCCTCAAGTTAGAGGACCAACTTCCCAGGTTCACATATCTGCTCTTGGAGGCTAAGCTTCCTTGCTGGTTGGTTCTCCTAATGTAATAGCCCACGGTCCGTACTTGGTCTTCTCTACCTATATACACTCCTTGCTAAGTGCTAAGTCACTTCAGTCATGACCAACTCTTTGCGACCCTATGGACTGTAGCTCACCAGGTTCCTCTGTCCCTGGGAATTCCCAGGCAAGAATATTGGAGTGGGTTGCCATTTCCTCCTCCAGGGGATCTTCCCCACCCAGGGATCAAGCTGGAGTCTCTTATGTCTCCTGCTTTGGCAGGGGGATTCTTTACCACTAGCGCCACCTGGTCACTCCTTAGAGGAATTAATTTATCCAAGATCATAGCTTTAAATGTCAGCTCTATGACAGTAACTCCCAAATGCACACCTGCAGCTCAGTTTTCTCTCCCAAACCCTAAACTCTTATCTACTTACCTGACTTCCACTCAGATGTTTAGTGAACATCCCAAACATAAAACATAACATCCAAAACTGAACTCCCAGTCTTCCCTCCCCTCCTCAAAGCTGCAATTTTTCAGCCTTCCTTCTCTCTCTTGATGGCAACTTCACTCCTCAGTCACTTTTAACATTTCTCTTTCCCTGAAATCCCACATCCAATCTTTCAGGAAATGCTATTTGTTCTGCCTTTAATTTTTTTTTTTTTTTGGCCGAGCCCCACAGCTTGTGGGATCATAGTTCCCTGAAAAGGGATCAAACCCATACCCGCTACAGTGGAAGTGTGAAGTCTTAACCATTGGACCTCCCGGAAAGTCCAGTTCTTTCTTTAAGAGCTAACCAAAACAAAATCTAACCAAAGTATGACCACTTCTCACCCATCCACTGCTGTTGTTCCAGCCTGGACCAATGTTTCTAGCCAAGATTGTACCAACAGCCTCTTAAAATGTCCCCACCTCTACTATCTGCTCTCAGCATAACAGCCAGACAACCACTGTAAGCTATAAGCCAAATCATGTCACAATCTTAGCTCAAAATCCTTCAGTGGCTTTTCATTTTACTAAAAGTAAATGCCCAAGTTCCTATGATTACCTATAAGATCTGCCCCCCAACTCTGGCACCACCACCACCAGCATGCCCTCCCCATTACTGCTCTGGCCTCATCTCCTACCCCTCTCACCCTTGTTCACTGTGTTCCAGCCTCACTGGTCTTCTCGCTGCTCTACAAATATACCAGGAAGGCTCCCCTCTTACGGTCTTTGCTCTAGCTTTGCCCTTGGTGGGAATGCTCATCTCGTGAATACCCACTTGGCCAGTTCCCTCAGAAGCAGTTTGCCCAGAAGTCAACCTGACCACCCTGTTTATCACTATAACCCCCTTCCCTGACCTTACCTCTGACATTACTGATCTCCCTCATGATGCCCTACTTCTTTTCTTCTGTAACATCTCTCATCTTCCACCACCTGATAATATATGTCTATTATGTGTTGCCTATCTGTTCCCATTAAGATGTAAATTTCACAGGAGTAGGATCTTTATCATCTTTGTTCACTGCTGGATCCTTAGGACTGAGAACGGTACTTGGCACGTAGCAAGGCTCAGTAAGGCTTCCCAGATGGCACTAGTGGTAAAGAACTTGGCTGCCAATGCAGGAGACAAAACAGACTCAGGTTCAATCCCCGGGTCAGGAAGATCTCCTGGAGGAGGGCATGGCAACCCATTCCAGTATTCTTGCCTGGAGAATCCGCATGGACAGAGGAGCCTGGCGGACTATAGTCCATGGGGTCACAAAGAGTCGGATATGACTGAAGTGATTTAGCATATGCACAAGGCTCAGTAATGTGTGTAAATGAATAAAGCTCAAATGCCATCTTCACTATGAAGTCTTCCCTGATCCCCTGAGCTGGAAAAAAATCTCTCCCAGAACTTCCACAGTACTTTATGGAGACCTGCTTTAAGATATGGCATTCATAATAATCCAACTGATATTGATCTACGTGCATATCACTTTCACTCCTGGGTGGCAATCTCTTTGTACTAAGATACAAAATTTTCCAAAACACCTATTGTTTTGAACCTTTTCTGAGTAGATACTCAATTAATTTCTGAAAGTTGAATGAATAAATAAAATGATACAATTGTGAATTACATAC